ACATGTTGCTATTTCCTGTCACTCTAAATTGAAGGTTCGGAATTTATCAAAGGATTGTTGTGCATGTCAATACTTGATTACCTCATGATGGACTTTCCACTGTTTGTGTGGTTGAAATTGCATTAGAACTATATAGTTAAGATGCTGTACTTATACAGACAGGTCAATTGGTTTTATGGTTACTTAAAATGAACTATTTACTGATAAGTGGCCATTCACATCAATAAATGGGAAATTTTCCGGGAATATGCTGAATATGGAATAATGATGAGAGACGAAGTTAACGTACAAACTATCAAATTGTGTTGTATTAGGCAATCTATCCTGATAAAAGCTGGTCGGTAGAGATACTAATGCTGTGATATGGTCTAGTCAGTCACAATTGGTTTACATGGAAACATTGAACGAGTAGATTGTCCGATACATGGAATCATATTGTATGGCATAAACATTGTTCAGGGGAATTTCCTTTGTTCTCTGAAGCTATTAATAGACCTTTAGTAGTATGTCCTTGTTTGACCCATGCAAAACAAATAAGTAAATCAATTAAATTTGTTACATTTATCAAAGATTGGAGATTGGTTGATTTAATTTACTCTTTCATCTGATGACTGTTCAGAAGACCTTCCAAGAAATACTTAATGCTTGTGTGAGAGTGGAAAAAGGACTTGTTGGAGGGTTAAAATTCATCATTATTCCTGTTTGACACTTTTTATTTGAAACTGTTGATAATGAACAAGAGGCCAAATTGGCTTGTATCACTCACTTGATATTCATTGTGCATCTCAAATACACAAGAATTTTACACCACTGTTTAAATGTAAATTAAAACAAGCTTTATCTGGTGAATATATCTACCACATGCCATGCTCCTGGGCCTTTTGGCAGTTAATCAAATATGGTCATTTAAAGGATTAAACAAAATAGACTCTTGTGATGTTGAAGACGGGTCAAGGTTATTTATTTTACTAAAAACTGTCAGCCTTTATCTCATGAATCTATTAAAACAGAAAATCATGTGTCTGGAATTGATTAATCAAAAGAAATTGTTTTTAAAATCTTAACAGATTTGATCCCAGTGACCTTGATAATAGGTCAAGGTCATTTCTTTTTCGCAAATTTGTCAGGATTAAAAATAGAAGCCTATCAGCCAAACATCATGCTTCTGGGCCTTTTGGTTAGTCAGAAGAAGTTGTTTAAAGGTTTTGACAAAATAGACTCCCTGTAACCTCGAATATGGGTCAGGGTCATTTCTCTTTCACAAACTTTGTCAGGATTCATACCAGATATCCATCTGTCATGCTTCTGCACCTTCTGGTTAATCAGAAGTCGTTTTAAGGTTTTAAGGTTTTAACAGTTTGACTCCAGTAACCTTCAGTATAGGTCAAGGTCATTTCTTTTTGAAATGTTTGTCGGGCTTCATCCCAGCAAACCACTAGTCAAAGGAGAATTCATTTAAATGAAAAGTTGACGTTGGACAGACAGACAGACAGACAGACAGACACTACGGCATAAGCTCACACTGCTGTTTAGGCTAGGTGAGCTTAAAATAAAAGTCACATGGAATAAAGAAGAAAAATATGTGCTCTGTTCCATAGCAACTATAATGACTAAGATTTCTATAAACAGCAGACTATATGTCATATGGCTGTACACTACCAGTTTTTCAGAAATATTACACATCATGAAAATAGATTATTTTAACTTAAAATATTTTGTATAAATCTACTAAAAAAAATATCGAATGTGAAATTTAATTGGATTTATTGTTTGAAAATCCCTTTAACGATACAGTTATCTTGAATATTTTTACCGTTTGTATAAAATTTCTATAGCATTAAAAACAAAATAAAAATCTATTGAAGTCAGAATAATGTTATGTTTTCTAAAGTGAGATATAGTTAAAATGTGTTGACTATGTAGCCTGTATAGCTGTCACATATTGTCAGTTCAGTGTTAATCTATATAGGACGCTTGTCAGTTCAGTGTTAGTCTATATAGGATGCCTGTCAGTTCAGTGTTAATCTATATAGGATGCCTGTCAGTTCAGTGTTAATCTATATAGGATGCTTGTCAGTTCAGTGTTAGTCTATATAGGATGCCTGTCAGTTCAGTGTTAATCTATATAGGATGCTTGTCAGTTCAGTGTTAGTCTATATAGGATGCTTGTCAGTTCAGTGTTAGTCTATATAGGATGCCTGTCAGTTCAGTGTTAATCTATATAGGATGCCTGTCAGTTCAGTGTTAATCTATATAGGATGCCTGTCAGTTCAGTGTTAATCTATATAGGATGCTTGTCAGTTCAGTGTTAGTCTATATAGGATGCCTGTCAGTTCAGTGTTAATCTATATAGGATGCCTGTCAGTTCAGTGTTAATCTATATAGGATGCCTGTCAGTTCAGTGTTAATCTATATAGGATGCCTGTCAGTTCAGTGTTACTCTATATAGGATGCCTGTCAGTTCAGTGTTAATCTATATAGGATGCTTGTCAGTTCAGTGTTAATCTATATAGGATGCTTGTCAGTTCAGTGTTAATCTATATAGGATGCCTGTCAGTTCAGTGTTAATCTATATAGGATGCCTGTCAGTTCAGTGTTACTCTATATAGGATGCCTGTCAGTTCAGTGTTACTCTATATAGGATGCCTGTCAGTTCAGTGTTAATCTATATAGGATGCCTGTCAGTTCAGTGTTAATCTATATAGGATGCCTGTCAGTTCAGTGTAAATCTATATAGGATGCCTGTCAGTTCAGTGTTACTCTATATAGGATGCCTGTCAGTTCAGTGTTAATCTATATAGGATGCCTGTCAGTTCAGTGTTAATCTATATAGGATGCCTGTCAGTTCAGTGTTACTCTATATAGGATGCCTGTCAGTTCAGTGTTACTCTATATAGGATGCCTGTCAGTTCAGTGTTAATCTATATAGGATGCCTGTCAGTTCAGTGTTAATCTATATAGGACGCCTGTCAGTTCAGTGTTACTCTATATAGGATGCATGTCAGTTCAGTGTTAATCTATATAGGATGCTTGTCAGTTCAGTGTTACTCTATATAGGATGCCTGTCAGTTCAGTGTTAATCTATATAGGACGCTTGTCAGTTCAGTGTTAATCTATATAGGATGCAACCGAGTTGATTCTGAAATATGCTCACTACACATCTGTACATGATTTAATTTGTTGAAATGTCTTTCTTCAAACTGTATGAATTGTGACCGTCGACCTTAATCTTGCCACAGAATTCTTGTCCACTTGAAGTCTGGTGATCTGTGTACTTCATTACAAAGATTGTTTACAAGTTGATTGTAGGTATTGATATAAACATCTTGTTATGTTCAGAAGAATTGCCAGGAAATCTTACCTCCTGGTTTCATGGTGTCATGGTCCTGGCCATTTGCCAGTATAATATTGTTCCCAACCCCCCAACCCCCATTGTGAAACCTAAAGATCATATAAATAACTTGCAGCATTAGTTATCTTAACCAATTCCATTAACATTGTGAAACTAATTTATAGGTCAAAGTACATATGAATCTGTCTTCTTAGATCGAAAACATTTCCTGATAGAATGCTTCCACTAAATTGTCTTTAAAAATTGCTAAAATATATTTTTGAAAAAAAGTTTAGTTCACCATTTTCCCTGCTTCCAAGTGGTTTGAATCCCTTTCTTTGGATTACAATTGGACAGCTTTGTTTCCTCTGTTGATATGGTAATCATTCGCCTTACATTCATCTGTCTGCCATGGACTTTTAAGGACAATCTGTAGTCAAGGGACATCAGTGCTTGTCATTTTGGAAATGGCAGCATTTTGTTTACATTGATTACCATAATTTCAAACCGCAGTTTTTGGTCAAATTTCCTTTCATTCGTTTAACTTCATTTAGTTGTGTCACAAATGACTCTTATATTCGCCGTACAAATTCCACGGGGATGTTTTTTGCCAAAGGCTGTGAATTTTGGCAAACGACTGGTCACATCCTAGATGATTTTTAACACGCTATCAGAATCGTGTCAGGGAAATTGGCCAGCCATTCAGTAGTGTTTCTGTTATTTTTCCATGTTTGTGTTGATTAAAGGGGTTCAATGCACTGGGGCATATATGTAACTGTTATGAGACAAAACATTACCAGCCATCAATAATTATCCAATATATCGCTATATATTTGGACATGGATGTTTACATCTACAGCAACCAAAATGCCAACACCGTTGAAACATATAATGCCACACCAAAAAGTAACCATTTGTTTGTCCGACATCATTTTGGACAATTTAGGTTTAGTCTCTGTCCATCTGTCTGCAACGGACCCATTTGGACAATTTAGATTTGGTCTCTGTCCATCTGTCTGCAACGGACCCATTTGGACAATTTACATTTGGTCTCTGTCCATCTGTCTGCAACGGACCCATTTGGACAATTTACATTTGGTCTCTGTCCATCTGTCTGCAACGGACCCATTTGGACAATTTAGTTTTGGTCTCTGTCCATCTGTCTGCAACGGACCCATTTGGACAATTTAGTTTTGGTGTCTGTCCATCTGTCTGCAACAGACCCATCTGGACAATTTAGTTTTGGTGTCTGTCTATCTGTCTGCAACAGACCCATTTGGACAATTTAGGTTTAGTCTCTGTCCATCTGTCTGCAACAGACCCATTTGGACAATTTAGATTTGGTCTCTGTCCATCTGTCTGCAACAGACCCATTTGGACAATTTAGTTTTGGTCTCTGTCCATCTGTCTGCAACAGACCCATTTGGAAAAGTTAGGTTTGGTTTACTAGGGATCCTTTTGGGCCATCTAGGTTTAGACTGTGTCCATTGTCTGTTAGGGATCCTTGAACAATTCAGGTTTGATCTGTATCCTTCAGCCAGCTAGGGGCCCTTTTGGACAAACTTAAGATTTGCTCGAAAGATGATAGCAAACAAGTTTTGTTTTCTTTATACAATTCTAACATTTCTCTGTTGAATATCAACTTGCTATAAATTTCACTCTTTTACAGACATAACGAAGGACAAGAAGAAGAAGAACTGGAAGGTGAAATCTTACTTTCCACTCACTGGACGAGCAGAAAACAGAGGCAAAGATTTCCTCCATGATGATCTTGTCTACCTTGCCAAGAAAATCTCAGGTACGGCACTTCACCTTATTTACATTCATGATTTCATTTTCCTAAATAACAGGTCTACGAAAGGTCAACGCAGACTGAACTAGATAAAATTGGTGTTTAAATGTTGTTCTTGTTATTACCATAATGTTAAGAAACCATAATATGAAGGCTTTTGTAAGGTTTGAGTCTGGATTGCTTTTTATAATCCTGTATGACTCTATTTTTCATAGCAAAACACATATATCTGAGGTAAAATATTGGTTAATCGGTCATAGTGTGTCGTACTACTAGCCTGTTGCTTTTAATTATTACTTCTGATTTAGTGAAGGGACACTTATTGTGTTTGTACTTCTCATACAATTTTGTCTGGGTCATAACTTTTAAGTCGTTTAGACATCATCATAAAAATTTGAAAATTACTGAATCACACATGAATCATTTGGCAATGCCCTGAATTGAGATCAGAGTGACCTTGGCACTGAAGTCAAAGGTCAAACATATTCAGTTTTCAGTAGAATCTTGTCCAGGAGATGAATTCAGTGCTGTTAAAGATATTGGTTTTGGTGACAACTTTACATAATTTGATATTTCGGTCTAAAGTATAGGGTCTGTGGTATTCCATCTCTCTTGGCACACAGACAGACCCCAAAGCTGGTCCTATTACCTCAGCTTATTCTGGTAGATATGTTGTTGTTTTAAATACAGAATGAGGTTACATGATGTATGACATCAAAATATGATTTCAGAGATGGCCAACTTCTATTTACCTAATAAGACATGCCTTCACATTCAATTCCTTCTTCACTTTAAAAATTACTTTTAAGATCATTCTATAGATAAACCTACCTTATTGTATAAATTTGAGGTTTTTTAATGTAAAACCAATTTTCATGATGTAATACTTACCATAACTTTAGTATGCAAATACAGTACCTACACCCATCTTTGTATCCCAACAACAAAAGATTCAAAAGAAAAACAATCCCGCCCTCCCTACGATCCATGAGCCATCACGACAGGAACGCAGAGTGATCTCCCTTCCTCTAATAACCTTTATGGCGTAAACCCCACAGAGGGGCAGCCAGGCAGATAAGGAAGAGGGGAGGATAGGGTGGGACTCCATAAAGTTATGGTAAGTATTACATCATGAAAATTGGTTTTACATTAAAAAACCTCAATTTCATTTCAGTAATAATTACCATAACTTTAGTATGCGAATTCGTCTTACCGTAGTGGTGACTAGAAGCCAGGCAGCCCCTTCAGCACAACCAAAGTAGTAGGGAGGGAGAACAGAGTGCTAAAGTGAAGGAAGGGACCTCTCTGTGAAAGAGCAGGTGTACCCACATGCCGCCGTACGGAAAGACATGGCCCGGGGCTAACGAGGAGGCCCAGCCACTGACTATGCCACCACCAAAGGTCCCAATGATACAGGCCTTCTGAGTGGGAAGCTAGGGATCACAGATAAAAATCTGTTAAGGTATCCCTGCCCTGCCAGAATACTGCAGACATGACCTCCTGAAAGGAGGACTCATTGAGAGAAGGGCCCAGGATGAAGCAAGGGCCCTGACCTCGTGAGACCGCGCTTTCACTCTCGCCCGAGCCAGATCATCAAAATGCTCGTAAGCATACTAAATCACCTGGCAAACCCACCTGGAAACCGACTGGGAGGAGATATCTCGTTGCCCCTGTTTAATGGGCAAAACAGACGGGATCGAGAGCCCCGCCCCCCCTGGTTTTATCAAGATAAAACCTAAGAGCCCGACAAGGACAAAGCAACCTATCTCGCTCCTCCGAGCTAGTCACAGCCAGGATCCTGATGGGATCGTGCGAGAACCCCGGAACCTGATTCTTCGCTAAAAACAACTCTATTCATAGCAAAGCCTCTGATTAGGGCAGAAAGAGAGGAGGACTAACCGATCTCCTTCCTGCCATAACAAGCAAGAACTCTGGCAATAGCTGTACGATAGCCAGCAATAGTGCCAGGTGGCAGATAGCGGTACCTAAACAGAGAGATTAGGAATTCCGCAATCAAATGCAGAGGCTTCGAATGAATAAGCTTCCTTGCCGACACACCAATCACAGAAGATCATCCAACGTGACTGGTAGACGGCAGAAGAGGAAGCCCTGATTGATTGCTCAATGCAATCGGACACCTCTTGAGAAAAGCCTGCCTTGGCGTGGCTTCCAGAGATAGCCTCAGCGCGTGAAGGTGGAGGATCTCTGGTCAAGAGTGTGTCGTTCTGGGCCAAGGCTGGCGAAGGAGATTCGGTCTGGTGGGGAGAGCCAAGGGCTCCTCCACCAGAAACGACAAGAGCTCCTGAAACCAAGCTTGCCTCGGCCACAGAGGGGCTCTCAGAAGTAAGGAGCAGTGATGCTCCCAGAACTTCTGTAGAACCCTGCCCACCAGGTTGAAGGGAGGGAATGCATATGCATACGTCCCTTCCTATTCCAGAGAAAGGGCGTCCACAGCCCACGCCTTACGGTCTGGGACCGGGGAGACGAAGGTTAGCAGCTGGTTGTTCAGGGAAGTGGCAAACAGGTCTATAATAGGTCTGTCCCACGCCTGACAATTCCCCTTGAAAATCAAGGGACACAGCTGCCATTCCGTCAACACCGGCTGGTGGCGCCTGGAGAGTGGCCACCAACACACTCAGCCTGCCAGAAAGATGCTTGACCGCTATGGTCAACTGCATGTCCTGGCAGAGAAGATGGATGTGGATGGAGAGGGCACACAGGACATGAGACCTGGTGGCCCCTGTCTCTCCAGATACGCGACAACTGTTGTCGGTAGCCACACTTTGGACTGCAGGATACCCCTAAAGGACTGCAGAGCCAAATGAACAGTGTCATCTCGAGTACACTGATGTGCTCCGAGAGTTATTCGCCAGACCACTCCCCCATCGAGGTAAGCTCACATTCCTGTCATGAACGCGTCCATGAACAGGATCATAGAGGGGATAGGCTTGGTCAGAGGTACCCCGTGGAAAACGTTCTCCTGAATGGTCCACCAGCAAGAGAACTCCCTGACCGACTGGGTAAGCGGGATCCAGGCCTCCTGGATGACGGAACCCAGTCAGACAGGAGGAACATCTGGAGAGGTCCGATGTGAATCCTCCCTAGGGGGACCACATATGCCAAGGAGTTGAGATACCCCAGAAAACTGAGGAACCAATGTACCTGGACAAGTGACCAAGTGATGAAAGTCAGAGCCAGAGCCCTGACCTTCTCAAACTTCTCCAGAGGTGGAAGGGCTAAGCCCCGAACCATGTCAAAATGGTTCCCCAGGAAGAAGAAGTCCTAATATGAAGGAACCTCTGACTTCTCTCTGGAAGGAATGAAGCCGACTCTGAGCAAGAGTTTCAGGACCAGACGAGTGTCCTTCACTAACGATTCCCACACCAAAAGAGGCATGAGGGAGTCGTCGAAATAGATGTGGACGTCTATTCTGCAGGAGTGAAGGAAACACCAGCAGCAACTTGGTGAACACCAAAGGAGCTGTCGTGAGCCCCAAGGGCATCTCTGCCTTGGCAGCATGGTCCCTACTTCCTCCTGGAGCACCCGTGCCCTTTCTGAATCCCCGGGAGGAGGAAAGAAACAAAAACGGCCAGGAGGCGAGGGACGAATCCTGAAGAAGGGGAATACCTAGACCCTCCCTGACCACCGACAAAAGCCCAAGCGTCCTCTGTAATATCCTGCCACTAGGAAAGGAAAGCAGAGAGACGTCCGCCCACAGGGAGTTCCGTATGGGGCAGATCGAGCCCCTGCCAGACCAGAGAATCGTCTGCCCACCCGGAGCCTGAGCCTGCAGGAGAAGGACATGAGCCCGGGAAAGGAGAACCACCGTCCACCCGGCCATACCCTTCGCCTTTAGCGGCCAAGAAGCAGAAATAGTCAGGAACCCTTCTTCTTGCCCCCAGGAGGTTTCTTACCCTTCCTACCCTTCCCCTTGTTGCCGTTGAAGTGAGGTTGGGACTTGGGCTGTGCAGAAAACTGAGCAGCCGAAGACTTCGCCTTCTTCTTAGGAGGCACTGACCCCTGCGAGGCACTGGCCTTCTCAGCCTGAAACCTCTTCACCAGAAGTGCTGAGGCGACCGAGTCCTCCTTCATATCCTTCTGAACCCAAGGAAGAGCTCCCCTGAACAGGGTAGAGCCCTAGAAGGGGGCATTCAACAAGCGGAAACGGTAGGGTTACTGGACTGGGCGGAATTTCAGAACTGAAAACTGCCTAGCCAACACGGCATTGACGAGCAGAGAACCTGCAAGGCTGCCGTGTCCTGTATGTCGGCCGTTCTGTCTCGGATAACCGACACTCAGGCAAATCGGATACCCTGTATAGACAAACTGTCAGGAAGTCTATGTATGACAGAACTTGGATGGAGAGGTGCAACATTCTCTCCATCCTGTGGTGCTCTTTGGGATCGAGCACCACCTGGTCCACTGATTTGCCGGGCCAGGCAGCCAGCTGTCTCAACTCCAGCTGTGCTGGTTGAGAGGCCAGCTGCCCATCATGTGTGGCATAGTCGGAAGCTGAAGCCTCCGACAATTCACCAACACCGAGCTGCAGACCGACAAACCCGAGAGCACGGGTAGAGAAGGAGTCCTTCTCTAAAACCGGAGCCCGGGCCGTGGCCAGAACCGAAGACATGATATTGCCTTCTGGCAGAGACCGATCTGAGCGAACGGAAGCCCGAGGAGCCACCAGGGAACCCAGAAGGATGGTGGATTCAGGCGCCGACGATGCTGAGGCGGTGGGCAAACCTCCGCCCTGAGAATCCGGGAGATGTTGGCCCGGAGGACCCGCATCCCAGAAAGCACATGCTGAGCCTCAGCTTCAGCAGTCTCAGGGCCATCTTCCCCTTGTGAACCCTCTTGGCCCAGGAGAAAGATGAATGACATCGTCTTCCTCTGCCGAGCCCGCACCCTCGATGTCCATCTCCTCCTCAATAGAGACCGAAGTCCCCTTGGGAGGAACAGGGGCCGCCAGAGGAGCCATCTCCGCAGAGGGGAACTCCTCTTTATGG